CAGAACATACAGATGTATGCCACAAAGTTTTAACTTTTTGGCCTATTGCCTTGGTTTTTTTGCTTCCTGTCTTATAATCTGAAATGTCTACTTGCTGGGAGTCTTTCCTTATAAGGTTTACTGTTCGTCTACACTGCTTGCTCGCTCAGCTGGTTTAGATTTATTCCTCTCTGGATGATATCTTATCTCAGATCCTTGGAAATTTACATGGTATACTCGGCAAAGCTGCTTTCTAAAATCCTGGTGATGGTCACTGCGACAAGTTCCAGTGAACTATGACTGAAGAATTGTGAGATGGCTTAGATTATAGGTACTTTATGGTATCGCCTTCCTACCTGTAGCACGGTGCAAATATATTTGTCTGACGAGTAGTTTTCAATGGGCTGAGAATGGGGACTATGGCTTGTGCTAAAAATAATCTATGTTGAGAAGCCCAGTTCGTGTAGGTCCATGCCACGAGTGTGCAACTGGGGTGGGTCTTAAATTACCAGCGGCCTGTAGGGTGGATACTCAGCAGCGTGTTTGGTCTTGTTGGTTTCATCTCTGGGACGTGTGATGGTGGTGTAATTCATGTCTCACTCGGCGTTGGGTAGATCTGGTCTTGCTCGTCTTGGCTGCCAGCAGAAACGCCTGAAGCTGAGACTAGGCACGCGGTGCATCTGGCCTCTCATTGAGGGTCCTCATTAGCGCTAACACTGCATTCGTGTGTGTGCGCTGGACACTGCGTAATGCTTTGTCTGCATTTGGGTCCAGTAGGTCTAGTGCCGCCAGCAGGAGCGAGCAGAGGCCTTGTCTGCTTTATTGATTTTTACAGTTTAGCGTTGGCTAGTTCTTTTGCTCAATTGTCCAGGCATTCTGATCGTGGGTTTGCGCTTGCGTTTGTAGCTGTGTCCAGACTCACACTCCTGCTTGTTGTCCTTCTTTGCTTCATTATTATGTTTTTCTGGCCATGGCAGGCTAATCCACGCGATCTGTGCCGCTCTCTGTTTTTTTTCTCTCCTCGTATTTCTGGACATTATATTATGTGGTCTTTCTTACTGTCATCGTGTCTTAGTTTTTTTTTTTCCTATGGACATTGAGAATTCATAACTAGTGTATGGCCAAATTCAACATTCTGTGAGATCTTGATAGTATTTGGGGCGGAAACGTCTACACTTTGCTGCACGAGAGCTTGCGGAATTCTGTCTGGCTGGATTCTCGTGTAGATTACGCGCCCTCCATCTGTTTCGTTCCGGGATGTGCGTGTATTTGCACCAGAGGCTCGGTTTGTGCGATGGTTCCACATATAGACTATTTGTGACCCTTCTGTGGCAAACACCTGTGCTTTGATAGATTCTTTAGATAACTATTTACTAATTTCGATGGAGCTCTCTTCGACAGGAGCTCTGAGGTGAGGCTAGCGCATAGATCAGCCGTATTATTGACCTATCGATTTTGGGGAGATAAGCAAACCCTGAGTTGACCTCTGATTTTCTCGGATCCTTACGTAACTGGAACAATATGATGTTGTGTTTTTTTAAGTTATTTTTATCATTGATAATGTTAAATAGAGTAATTTGTGTTTAAATGGCTCAGATAAAAATAGGGTTGGTACCGAATTTGGATCTCGACAGCTCTTCCTTTTGTCAGTACTTCTTGCCTCCGTCTGTGGAATTTGTGGTTCGTGGCAAATCTTGTTTTTGATAACTTATTTAATTCTGTGAGCAGTCTTTCCCATTTTTATTGTTAGGTGGGCGTGCATTGTATCATTTTGTATTACACTGTCTGATGGTACCGTTTCTGTTGAATACGCAGATGTAATACCTCTTTGTCTTTAGTAAGCTAGATGGAGTTATATATCCTGAAGTACATATTGTCGTGTTGGATTTGCTCGTTTTGAGAAATGGTACTCGTGTATGAACTTCCAATAGGTATCGATATTTGTCTTGGAGAATATATGGGAGAAGGAAAGATGGTCGTTGGTTTGTTAAACGGTGAAGTTCGCTTAATTTCTGTTATAGGTTATCAGGGTCTTTAGTGGAACTCGTAGACTCTACTGATAACTTTGTAAGACCCCTTATGGGCTGGTGTATATTGCAGTGAGCTAGTCCTTGCAAAGGACCTTGCTTGTCCTGCCTGTCTCCCTCTTGTGAGTCCTGGGTCAGGCAGACAAACCCAGTGGCTTCTGGGACTACAAACGAATAGGGAAAGGGTTTGATATCCACACCTACGCAAACGAATCTCCAGTCCTATCTCGGTACTTTTTGGCTTTGGTGGATGCGTGGAACAGCTGGGACTTGTATCGCGGGAATAAACGTCTTTTTGCTTCGAGCTAGTTCATTTGCCTGTCTCGTTATATCTGGTTATTTACGTACAAATTTTTATTCGTCCAGCTAATTTTTTCTATATATTTTTAGTTAGCCGGTTAATTTCTTTCTATTTATTTTAGTAGAGACGGGGTCTCACTCTTCCTCAGGCTGGTTTCGAACTCCTGACCTTGAGCCATCCTCCCGCCTCGGCCTCCCAAAGTGTTAGGATTACAGGCGGGAGCCACCTCGCCCAGACTAAAATTTTAATTTTTAAAAATTTAATCTTAAACTTCACATTGTTCAAAAAAAATGTTTAAGTATTAAAACATTTGTAGCACTCTCCATGTAACTATGATTATTAAAATCTTGTGTTTTGGGCCAGGCGCAGTGGCTCATACCTGTAATCTTAGCACTTTGGGAGGCCAAGGTGGGAGGATCACTTAAGGCCCCGAGTTTGAGACCAGCCTGGGCAACACAGCGAGACGTCTGTCTCTAAAAAACATACAAAACTTAGATGTGGTGGCACGTGCCTCTAATCCCAGCTGCTAGGGAGGCTGAGGCAGGAGGATCGCTTGAGCCCAGGAGTTTGAGGCTGCAGTGAGCTGTGATGATGCCACTGCACTCCAGCCTGGGTGACATTGAGATCTTGTCTCTTAAAAAAAAAGAAAAATCTTGGTCTTGTTCAAGGACTTTTTGTTCATAGAAGCAAGCGTGAATATATTGTCTTTTTATTCTTTTATTAATAGGGTTTAATTTTTAGAGTAGTTGTAGGTTCAGGCAAAATTCTGCAGGAAGTACAGGATTCCCACATACCTGCCAACCCCCGACACACACACCACAGGTAGCATTCCCGTTGTCAGCTCTGCGTGGGGCATTGGGGACGATCAGTGAACCTGCACGGACGTGTCGTCCTCACCCAGAGTCCATAGTCTGCATCCAGGTTCACTCCTCGTGTGGTATCATTCTGTGTGCTTGGACAAAAGTGTGGTGACATGTCTCCACCATCATAGTGTCATTCAGAGCAGTGCCCCTGCCCTGCCCTAGACCTCCCCGTGCCTGCCTGTCCCTCCCTCCCCCTGCCCCCCACCCGGCAGCCACTGATCTCTTACTGTCCCCATAGTTTTGCCTTTTCCCGAGTGTCCTGTATTGGCATCATACGCCGTGTGGCCTTTCCAGACTGGTCCCTTCTCTTAGCGACATGCCTTCGAGGCTCCTCCCCGTCTTCGCGTGGCCCGGCAGCTCTTTTCTCTTTAGTGCAAGAGGAGCATCCCGCTGCCTCGATGTCCCCCCACTGATTTGCCCACTCCCCTCCCGAAACACCTGGGTGCTCCAGCTCTTGGCGGTTGTGAATAAAGCTGCTATGAATATCCGTGCACGGGTTTTCAGCTCCTTTGGGGTTAACACGTAGGAGCCCAGTGCCTGGGTCAAAGGATAAAAGCATATTTTGTTTGTTTTGTTTTCCCTTCTTTGTTTATTTAAGCGAGATAACTCACAGTTCTGCTCGGTTTTGTTATTTTATGCAACATTGTATCCTGAGGATTTTTCTGTACCCTCCCTGAAGTGCTTCCTCTCCCTGTGGAAGTCTGGAAAAACTGTATCCATCAGCCAAACAGTGTACATTGTACCCAGGAAGGGACTTCTCAGCCCCGCCACCTTCCCGCTCCTTCCCGCCCCTCCGGGTCTCCAGTGTCTGTTATTCCTTCCGTTAAGCTTTCTGTTTTGGGATTATTACAGAGTCACGTTCAGTTGTCAAGAATCACGCAGAGAGGTCCCAAGCACCCTTGACCCAGGTTCCCCAGGGGTGACACCCAGGAGTGACAGTGACGCTAGTCACTGTCACAGCAGGACATCGATGTGGACATGGGGCCAACCTTCCCTCCTCCTTGGGTTCATGCATTTTCCATTTGGCTGTACCTGTCACAGCCCCGCTGATGACACGGGACAACCCCAGTGTCCCCCACCCGCCCTCCCCAACTGGGGGCTTTTGCCCCTCTGACCTCAGAGAGAAGGGCCTCGCTGTAGTTCAGGGTTTTTCTTGTTTTTTGTTTTTTTTGTGTGGTTTTTTAGAGACAGAGTCTCACTCTGTTGCCAGGGCTAGAGTGCTGTGGCATCAGCCTAGCTCACAGCAACCTCAAACTCCTGGGCTCAAGCGATCCTCCTGCCCCAGCCTCCCGAGTAGCTGGGACTACAGGCATGCGCCACCATGCCCGGCTAATTTTTTTGTATTTTTTAGTTGTCCAGCTAATTTCTATTTTTTTAGTAGAGATGGGGTCTTGCTCTTGCTCAGGCTGGTCTCGAACTCTTGACCTCAAGTGATCCTCCCCCTCGGCCTCCCAGAGTATTGGGATTACAGGCGTGAGCCACCGCGCCCCTCCTTGTAGTTCAGTTTTTGATCGTTTTCAATACACGAAACTGGACATCTTTTCATGTACTGAAGAGCCGTTCAGCTCTCCTGTGCTTGGGAGCCGGGCGGTGGTTCCGGGAGAGGCTCCACATTCGATGGCAAGGACGTGGGACTGACCGGCAAGTCCCCCAGCACAGATGGACACCAAACCGCGGGCCACAGAGAGGGCAGGGCAGGGGGGTTGGTGGCGGTCCCTGAGCCAGGGCACAGCAGAGGCGCGGCCAGCTCTGCGGGACGGGAGGCAAAGCCGGAACTCTCCCAGAGCGCCGCGTGTCCTGGGCTGACCCGCGCTTGTCTTCTCTCCCCAGCAGTGGCAGATGAGCCTGGGGACCAGCGAGGACCACCAGCACTTCACCTGCACCATCTGGAGGTGAGCACGGGCCGGGAGGGACAGCGGCTGCTGTGGTGTCGCCCACTCCAGGCGGGGAAAGAGAGGAAGAGGACAGCCAGCCAGCCAGGGACAGGTCTCCGCACCCCTGGAGGGGACACAGGGCAGCACACAGACTCGGGAAGTGCAGGCAGGAGGGGCCTCCACACTGCGCCTGGGACAGGGCAGGTGTGTCCCCAAGGAGGCACATTGACAGAGAGGCTGGGGCCCAGGAGCGTGTGCCGGGCGGGCCCAGCACCAGCGCGAGGGCCCGGAGGGCCCTGAGGGGGGCACGAAGTCACCAGAGGGCTTTGGGGCAACTTTTTTAATCGAGATAAAATTCTCATAAAACATAGCTTGTTGAAGTGCACGGTTCATTGGTGTTTGGCACACTCACAGGGTGGTGCTGCCACCTCTCTAGTTCCAGGACTTTCTCAACATCCTGAAAGGAAGCCCGGCCCCCATTAGCCATCACTGTCCGTCTCCCCACCCCTCGCACCCGTGCATCCTCGTCCTGTCCCTGTGGCTCTGCCTGTCCCAGACGTTGCATAGAAACGGACCCACGCACCGTGCGAGGTCCCCAGCGTCCTCCCCGCCCCAGAACTGGATCACTCAGTTCCTGCTTTCCCTCAGGCGCCTCTTCCACTAGAACATTCTCTCTGAAGGATGAGCCAGATGGCTTGCAACCTTGTGTGGGTCACACAGCCCTGGGAATCAGACAGCAAGTGTGCCCCCCAGCCCCACCGTCCCTGAAATGCCCAAACACACGGCCCGGCCCGCGGCATCCACACACAAGCTCGGCCCCTCCGAAGTCCCTCCACGTGTGGCCTGGGTGGCGCGGCCTCGTGCGAGGCAGACCCAGCCACCCGGGTCCTGCCCCCCGTCCTCCTCGGTCAGGTTCCTGCCCAGCTCAAGTCGTCTCCTCCTTGTCCCCGTGCGCGAGCACAGCCCGCCGAGTGTGCGGTGCGTCCGCCGGGCAGAGGGCCGGGGAGCTCCAGCAGTCCGGCCCTTCTCTCCGTCCTCGGTCCTCGTCCTCGCAGCTGGAACGCGCGGCCGGGGCTGCTCGTTCCTGGGGCCTTTATCTTGTGCCCGACGGCGCAGGCGCTTGGGAGGGACCTCGACAAACGTCCAGGGCGTGGTCCTGGCGCCTGGTTGACTCGGGTGCAGGGAACACAGCAGAGACGATGAGAGAGCAGCGAGTGGCGGCGTTTAATTAAAGGACGGGGCGTGATGTCACGCTGCGTGTGGGCGTGGTCGCAGTCTCCTGCTGGCTGCCTCGCAAACAGCAGGAGTTGCCGAGTGGTGGGGGTTCCGACCTTCGACCCCCGCCACGTCACAGGCGGGCAAGGCCCCAGGGGCCACTGGCAGCTGCGTTGAGGGGACCCTGTTGGTGCCGCGTCCCAGCCCAGAGAGAGCCAGGGCAGGGGTCCGAGCCCGGCCACCCCTGTCACGGGGAAGCCCGCGGTCCGAGCTCCCGTCTGCAGAGCACAGCCTGGCGCGGGGCGAGGGTGGCACCGGGGGCGCAGACACAGGCCAGGATTGGGGTGGGCCCTGCCTGTGCCCGAACCCTCTTACCTGCCCTCCTGGGGGCTCCCCAAGGACACGTTCAGCCCCGGAGACCTGCTGACCCCTGGGCCCTCCACCAGCCAGGCCTGGAGCAGCCACTGGGGCTTAGAGAATGATCTGGAGGCTCCCTGATGCTCCCAGCCGGGGCGCCCACAGAAATGGCCACTTCCCTCCCCCTGCATCCCCACCGCCCATCTCAGTCCCCCGCTGGCACCTTCCAGCACCTTCCACCACTCCAGTGCCTTAAATGCCATGTTTGCACCTCCTGGGGACCTGGGCAGAGCTCTTTCCCCACTGCCTAGTTAACTCCTGTACTGCTCAGCCTCGGGGCTGGGGGCCTCCGCTGGCCACTCGTTGCCCTGCCCCACTGCGACCTGCGACCCGGCAGCAGGCAGGGAGGGGCTCAGCTCACGGCCACGGGAGAGAGGCCCATCTGCAGTAGCCAGCGGGAGGGTGTTCCAGCAGGGAGGAAGGAGGGCGTCATGCTGAGGCCCCGAGAGACCCCGCGCGCCCCTCCCAGAGCGGGCGGTGCTGGGGAGCGGCTCCACGCAGACGGGCAGCCCAGCCCCGGCCTGACCCGGCCGCCCTTGCTTTGCAGGCCGCAGGGCAAGTCCTACCTGTACTTCACCCAGTTCAAGGCGGAGGTGCGGGGCGCCGAGATCGAGTACGCCATGGCCTACGTGAGTAGCGCTGCTGGGGGCTGTCGAGCTGGCGCGGCTGCCCCATGTCCTGCCTGAGACGGCACCTGCTGACCACGGGGCCGGGAGGAGAGAGGGTGCCGGACCCTTCAGAGGGAGGTTTTGTGACTTGGAGGATCGTGGAGTGTCACCGCAGAGGCCTCCCCGGCCTGCAGGCGCCGAGGGAGGGTGTGTCTGGTGTCCCGAGGGGGACCAAGCTGACCCCGAGTGACCCAGCGGGTGGAGCAGGAGATGGACACCCTGGCCTCCCTCTCCTGACACCCCCGCCCCCCTGCCTGTCTCCCGCCAAAGCCACCAGGAACCAGGAGGTGAGGGCACCAGGAGGTGCTCGGCCCCTGGGACGTGGGCAGGGACAGCGGGGGCCAGAGCCAACCCGCAGGGGCAGGCGGGGCGGCTCACTGGTGGGGAACAGGACCCGGCGCCCCTCGGCCAGACAGACCTCTGCACTCCTGGCACAGGCAGGAGCAGCCTCCACCGTGGGGGCCCAGCCGAGCACACTGCAGACACCCCACTTCTACACTGGGGTCAGAAACACTGTGGAAACGCAACCAGAGAAGCAGGGCCGGGAGGAGAGGCGTGTTAGGAGACTGATAGCGGGACCGGGCTCACGCCACGGGGAGGGGCCAGGCAGGTGTGGCACCTACAGCCCCGGCCCAGGAACTGTTGATAGGCTACGTCTTCCTCAGGGGAGCCTCGCTCTGCCCAGAGGCCCCGAGCTGATTGAATCCGGATGTCCCAGGTCTCCCAGAATAGTGTCCTCCTTTCCTTGAGTCCCCTGGCCATGGGCTTTAACCACATCCACAAAATACCTTCAGAGCCACCCCTGCTGGCGTTCGCTTGGAGGATCAGGGACTCTGGCGTCGCTGAGTTGACACATCAAACTGGCTGTCCCAGCCCAGCTCTGAGACTCCTGCTGGTAGTCCCTGAGCTTTGGGAGGCTGGGGCAGGAGGATCGTTTGAGGCCAGGAGTTTGAGACCAGCATGAATAACATAGTGCGAGCTGGTCTCTACAAAAATTATAAAAATCAGGCCGGGCGCAGTGGCTCACGCCTGTAATCCTAGCACTCTGGGAGGCCAGGGTGGGAGGATCGCTCAATGTCAGGAGTTCAAAACCAGCCTGAGCAGAGCAAGACCCCATCTCTATTAAAATAGAAAGAAATTAATTGGCCAACTAAAAATATGTAGAGAAAAAATTAGCCGGGCATGGTGGCACGTGCCTGTAGTCCCAGCTACTCGGGAGGCTGAGGCAGGAGGATCGCTTGAGCCCAGGAATTGAAGGTTGCTGTGAGCTAGGCTGACGCCACGACACTCACTCTAGCCTGGGCAACAAAGTAAGACTCTGTCTCAAAAAAAAAAAAAGAAAAAAATGTAAAAGTCAGCCTCGTGGTAGTGCGCACCTATAGTCCCAGCTATTTGGGAGGCTGGGGCGGGAGGATCACTTGAGCCGAGGAGTTGGAGGCTGCGGTGAGCTGTGATGATGCCACTGCACTCCAGCCTGGGCGACAAAGCGAGACCCTGTCTCAAAGAAACAACACAGGAAAACCACTATTCTATTGGCTGATTTGAAAAAGAAAAAGACAATTCTGATGGGTTGTTTTCTTTTCACCGTTTAGATAAGAGGCCCGCCTTCCTGATTTTTTTAACTGACCTTTAAGAGGCTGCAGCGCTTATATTATTTCCATAAATTATTAACTGAAAGGAGAAAAATCGGGTCAGGTCTGTCCTCCTGGGATCTGCAGTGGGGGCCTGAGGTTCGAAGGCAGCTGAAGGGTTCTGGGCTACAGGCGCCAGCCCGCTGCTACCGCTGCTCTTTCACGGGCTTAGAAACGCGTCTTTAGTAAAAGCACGTGGCGTTAGTCTCTGCTGCTCTGGGAAGCAGACTGAGTCCTCTTCTCAACCATGCGATGGCGCTAGGTGAAGCTCCCACCTGTTCCCTTTCAGTCTAAAGCCGCCTTTGAACGAGAAAGCGACGTCCCCCTGAAAAACGAGGAGTTCGAAGTCACCAAAACAGCAGGTATGGAAACCTGGGCTGTGGGCACAGAGCAGAGAAAGCGGCCGAGGGCAGTGGCATCGTCCCCATCGGGGGGCGACGTGGTGGGAGTCAGGAGGTGGAGGTGGGGTCCCCTGGGGGTCCCCGAGATCATAGACCAGCGTCCGCCCACAAACCGCTTCTGCCAAGCGCCACACGCTGAGCGTTCTCAGCTTTGTGGGACATACGGGCTCTTTTTTAAGCGACTCAAGTCCACTGTTGTAGCACAAAAGCAGCCGTAGACGGTACGTCCGTGAACAGGCGTGGCCCCGTGCCAATAACGCTTTATTTTATGAACACTAAAATGTGAGTTTCAGATAAGCTTTCCATATCACAAAATACTGTTTTTCTTTGATTTTATCTTTACACTTCCCCCCTACCCCCGCACTTATAGTCCCAGCTTGCTTGGGAAGCTTAGGAGGGAGGATCACTTGAGCCTAAGAGTTTGAGTCCAGCCTGGACAACATAGTGAGACCCCTCTCTAAAAAAAAAAAAAATTAAAAATGTACAAGCCACCCTTAGCGTAGGGGCTGCACAAAAGCAGGCGGTGGGCCCCACTGTGCTAACCGCTGTTGGAGATCTAAGAGCGGGAAAGTTCACGCCCAGAGCCGCGTGTCCATAAGGGCGTTTAGTGTGTGGGCTGCAGAGGTGGCGGGTGGGGACAGGGAACGCCTGCACCCCGGGCTGTCTCTCGCCGTGACTAGAAGCAGCTTAGAAGTAGACAGTGTCAGGGCGGCCTAGCGGTGGGGACCGCACAGTGCGGAGTGGGGGCTGGGCGCTGCCTGAGCCCGCCACGTCAGAGCCACGTTGGGGTTGGGACGCACAGGGAGCACTGAGCAGAAAGAGGGCAGCAAAGCCCCCAAGGGGCAAGGGTGGGAGGCAGGAGAGTGGCAGGTGGGGCCAGGTGACTTGGGGACGGCAGAGCAAGCCAGAGTACCTGACCCTGCGGGAAGGCGTCCATGCCAGTGGGAGGTGGTGGGCCTGGCCCCGCCCATCCTGCTCAGCGTGGGGCTCCCCTCCTGGGCTCTGCCTGCACCCTGCCCCGACCCCCTCTCCATGTGGCACAAGTGACCAGGGCTCCTGCCATCTCAGGCCTTCTCGCTGCCCCAGTGACCTGTCACCCTCCATGCCACCTTCCTCCGGCCCTCACCCGTAAGACGTTCGGAGCCTGGGGCCTTTCCACGTGGGCGTCCGCTTGAGGGACTGCGCCCCCACCCCACGTCCCCAGGGCCCCGAGGAACCGTGGCGCGTGAGGGCCCGACTGTGTGTCTCTTTCCCGCAGTGGCCCACAGGCCTGGCGCGTTCAAGGCCGAGCTGTCCAAGCTGGTGATCGTGGCCAGGGCGTCCCGCACCGAGCTGTGACCGGCAGCCCCGCCGAGGTGGTGCTTCGTCATCTCCGCCCAGGGCGCCCCTTGCTGGTTTTCTAGGGGAACTCCCGGATCTCAGCCCAGGCCGACGTCACCCTGTCGGGGCTCACCCGGCCTGGCCGTCCCGCCCTCCCCGGCCCCACGCCCTGCGTGCTCCGCCGGCCGGGACCAGGCTCCCCTCCGACCTGGCGGCCACCTCTGTGGGCCTCTGGGACTGTTTGGGCACAGGGTGCCCGGGGCTCCTCTCACACGAACTAGGAAGAGATGAAACAATTTTTCATATTTAAATAAAAAAGGTGATTGAAAACCCAGCATGCAGACGGACCATCAGCCCCGCTCCTTCCCTGTCGGGGAGGGTCCCTCGCCCGGGCACGTGGCCCCCCACGCTGGACCCGCAGCGGCCGTCCCTAAATCTGTTCCTGCGGGCCGGCCACTCGTGCTGGCCGAGCTGGCCCCACCCTCGCATGCCCCTGGCCAGCTCCCCCGGCTCCACCCGCCTGGCCCCGCAGCGGGGCTGCCGCTGGGCACGGGCTGGCGGGGACCCCTCACTTGCCGGACCCTCCCACGCCAGCCCTGGGAGGGGGCGCTGCTGCCCCCCAACTTCCCAGAGGAGAAAGGCCGAGGCGTCAGGCCTGCTGCCCGAGGTCACACCCTAGAAGAAACGGAGTGAGGCCCTCGCCCTGCTGTCCCCGCGGCCGTCCCTGGCACAGACGCGCCTTCAGGGTGAGAAGTGCGGGAGGAGAACGACTGTTCCCAGAAACCAGAGTGACCAGAGGGGCGCCGGGGCCCCCAGATACTCAACCAGCCTCGACCTCTTCCCCGCGTGCACTCTGAGCCTCGGGAGGAAGTTCCTGACGGCTGCGGCCATGGGAGGGCCCGGACCAAGAACGGTGCGGCTCTGAGGTTTAGGGGGCGCGGTGACCTGCGTGCCCTAGGGACCCCTCCCAGGGCCGGGAGCCCCCCCCCCCCCCGTCACCTTGGCAGCTGGCCAGGGCCCGGAGGTGGGGGTGGGGGGGTGGGCATCACTCCCTCAGCCTCCCACGCAGGGAAGACTTGAAACCGCACGTGGGCCGGACCTGGCCGAGGGAGGGATCCTTTGCTGTTCGGCCCAGAATCACTCATCGCGTCCGAACCCCTGGCTGACACCAGAGACGCGGCAGGATGCGGGGCACCTAGGGCCACAAACAAGCCTCCCACTTGCGCCGATGTCGGTGTGTACAGGAAGCATCTTTTTGTTTTCAAAGGCAGGGTCTCGCTCTGTCACCCAGGCTGGAGTGCAGTGGCATCATCACAGCTCACTGCAGCCTCCAACTCCCGGGCTCAAGCGATCCTCCTGCCTCAGCCTCCCGAGTAGCTGGGACTACAGGCCCATACCACCATGCCTGGCTAATTTTTAAATTTTTTTTTTAGAGATGGGGTCTTGCTATGTTGCCCAGGCCTATCTCAAACTCCTGGCCTCGAGTAATGTCTCTTGCCTTGGCCTCCCAAAGTGCTGGGACTACAGCACGTGCCACCACTCCCGGCTAGAGTTAAATGGTTTCAGACACAGGATCTCGCCATGTTGCCCGGGCTGGTCTGGAGCTCCTGGGCCCGAGCGGCCCTCCCCCTCCCGCAGCGCTGGGATACAGGTGCGAGCCACACGGCGCCTGGCGCACACGCGCACCTTAGTGTAGCTTTCAGGGAACTCGGAGACAAAGCCGCCTTTGGCTGTGACGAGGGCTGCAGCCGCCCCTCGTGTGGCCGCGCAGGCGCCGTCCTCTGCAGCCTCCTGTCTACCATCTGGAAATGGAACTCGTCTGCAGGGGCCGCGGATGCCTGACACCCGCGCGCACCCGAGCTACAAAGGCCAGAGCCCGGCACGCCCGAGCAAGGCTGCCAGGCGGCCCGGGCGCCGCTGCGCACCGCGCACACGGGAGGCGTGCGGGTCTGTGTACACAGTTGGGTGCTGCTCTTTGGTTTGATTACACCTCAAGCTCACGGAAGAGTCCAGACCGGACGCACGGCCAGCCCGGAGAGGCACAGTTACGCGCTTGGGCCTAAAAGACGCCACAGCCGAGGGCGGGGGTCTTCTGGGGAAAATCAGAACGGGTTCGTTCTCGAACGCCGCCCGAGGTGGGGAGAAGGTGGCCCCGAAGGTGGGGCTGCGGCAGGGCCCGCTGGCTCCCGGCCGACCAGGGCTTTGGAGCCGGCAGGTTTTCAAGAGAAACTCCAAACCCAGGCCGGCACGTGCCATTTCCTCGGTTTTTAAGATGTTGGCAGCTAATTCCAAATGTCTGAGATCCTGGGTGGGGCCGAGCGAGCCTCCCTCCTCGCCCAGGACGCCGCCGGGCTCCCGGCATGCACGGCCGCTGCCCTCAGCAGACCCGGGTCCACCAAAGGGCCGTGGAGCTGCGTCGCCTCCCGCCAGGTGCCCCGAGAACCCTGCTGCCCTGCGGCACAGCCCCCCGACCCCCACGTCCGCACGCCCGAGTGGGGCGCTGCCGCGCGTTCCGAGGAGACGCGTGGAGCTTCGCCTACGAGAGCGACGCGGTCGGCGGCTGGTTTTGGAGACCTGAAATCCTCGCCGTCAAACGTACGTGCTTCCCAAGGCAGGCGGCCGTAAGGAAGGAAGTGGCGAGCGCCTGCCGTGGTTTTGCCCTCGCCCCTGAGCGGGCCACGCCCGTCCCCTCCCACGTGGGGTCGCTGGGTCTGACCCAGTCCCCTCCCGAGGCGGGGCTGCGCGTCTCCAGCCAAAGTCACCAGCATCCGCCGGAATCCTCTCGAACTCGGGCTGCCGGGACAGAGTCCGCGGACTCCGGGGCCTGGACGAGTGTCTGTCCTGGCTCGCCGCGGAGGCCGCAGCGCAGGCTCAAGGTGTGGCAGGGCTGATGGTGGCCGCATCCCTGGTGTTCTTTGGCTTGTGGGAGCGTCGCCCCATCTCTGCTCCGCCGTCACCGCCGTTCTCCCTGCGTGCGCGTCTGCGTCCAAATGTCCCTTTCCATAGGACCCCAGCCATCGGCTTAGGGCCCGCCCTGCTCCAGGAGGACATCAGCTGAGCTAGTGACATCTGCAGTGACTCAGATGAGTCCGAAGAAGGTTCTAGGGGTTGGATGTGCTCAAGTAGGTTTCGTGGGGGCCGCAGTTCCCCACGACCTTGTCTGAAGGCACGAAGCCCAGGCGACTTCGTTACGCGGGGGCGCGCTGGCCTTTGGCTGACATCAAGCTGACACGGGGCCCGCTGGCTCACGGGGCGGGACAGGGACAGGAGCGGCAGGTGGCCGTGAAGGGGCAGGGGACCGAGTTCTCCCCACCGGCCGAGGGTGGGGAGAGGAGGGGCGGCGGGTTCCCTGGCACGCCCACAGCGGCTGGGCCACAGCGGCTGGGGTCACAGGCTGCCGTCCTCCAGCAGCCTCTCCAGGCCCTCGCAGATGCCGCGCAGGTGGGAGCGGTAGGGCTCGGCCGGCCCGTAGAGCGCGGCCAGGAAGTCGCCGTCGGCCAGGCGGCCGAAGACGTGGCTGATGCGGCCGTGGGACTTGGCGGACAGGCGCGGGCCCAGGGCCTGCTGCAGCAGGTCGCGGCACTCCAGCAGGCCGGCGGCCAGCACGCGCCGGTCGAAGGTGAAGTCCACCTGGCGGAAGCTGAGGGCGGTCATGGCCAGGCGGCGCGCGCGCTCGCGGAGGCGCTGCAGCAGCGCCAGCTCGTCCGCGCCCAGCCTGCCGCCGCGCAGCAGCAGGCCCAGCTTCACGGCCACCTTGACCAGGTTCTTGAGCAGCTTCTGCGCCTCCTTGCGGCTGCGCGTGAACTCCCGCGCCGCGCCGTACAGCTCGTCCAGCACCGCGCTGCTCGCGTCGTCCACCAGCGCCGCCACCGCCCGGGGCGGCACCGCGCCCAGCAGCTTCCTCTGGGCCTGCAGGGCCAGGCTCTTGGTGCTGAAGCCGTCCATCGGGCCTGCGGGCAGAGACAGACCCGCCGTCAGCGCCCGCCGCCCGCCCCCGCCCTCCCGCCCCTTCCCCGCGCCGCCGCGGCCTCCCCACCCGACCCGAGAGCCCAGCACGCCCCGACGTCGCAGCCCAGAGCGCCCAAACAGGCAGGACGCCTGCGCGGCGAAGGCTCCTGGGAAGACGGCCTTCACCCAAGGGACAAAGCCCGACAGACCCGAAGGGACCTAAGGGGAATTTGTTTCTTTAAAGGAAAGGTGTGTTAAGTCAAAGGAATGAATGCGTAATGGTGAAACCTGGCAGTCGAATGCTCCGCCACGGAGCTATACCCCCACCTAGGCAGGGCCCTCGGGATCCCAGTATTTGTGGGACCCGACACCAGCCCCCCAGACCCAGCGCATCTTCGCCGGGAGTTGGAAACGGGCCAGGGCGGTCGGGACCGGGTTCCATCGCCCTAAGCCTGGCCCCACCCTCGTCCCACGGCTCTGCGAGACGGGCTGTCGAGCCCAGGCCCTGGGCATTCGGGGTGGAGGCGCCCGGTTACTATGACCGACGCCCCCAGCCTCGCCACCCCCAGCTCACCACCCCCGCCGGGCCTCCAGCAAACGCCCGAGGCCTTAGGCCGGGAATGAGCCCCAGGGACAGTGGCCCGGGCTGTGGGCGACATCCGTGGGGTTTCCGGAAACAGGTCACTCCGGTGATTCCTCCAACACGGAAACACTGACTCGCCACAGCTCCTGTCCAGGGAGGGGCCGGGGAGGTGCCAAGGTGAAGGGCAGGCCAGCTCTCGGGACAGTGACAGTCCCTCTGCCCCTGTCACGCCTTCCTGCCACTGCAGTCTGCCGGACTGCCCAAGCTCTGCGGCCTCCCCCCGACCCCCTCCTTCCAGCAGCTCCAGAATTTTCCTAAATCGCAGTGCTGGGCGTAGCCCTTCCATGCTCAGGACCAGCCCACAGCTCCTGTGGCTTCTAGAACCAAGCCCCACGCCTCACTTGGGCCCTTGACTCTTGCCTGGTGGACCCTCAGTACCCCGACCCCAAGGCCTCTTTCCTGGTGAACTCCTATGCATCCCCCAAAGCCCTGGTCCCCATGCCCCTGCCTCTTCCCTAGTGGAGTCCTGTACCTCCCACACCTTGGCTCCCAAGTCTCTGCCTCTTCCCTGGTAGACTCCTATACACCCCTCAATACCCTGGTCCCCAAACCCCTGCCTCCTCTCCTTGCACGTTCATAACTCTTAGCCTGGACACCACTTCCTCCAGGAAGCCATCCCTGCGCTCCCGAGCCAGCCAGGGAGGCACCTCCTCTGAGCCACAGCGTCCCCAGCGTCCCCCTCACTGCTTTGCTTCCCTGGCCGTGGGGAGGGAACGGACCTGGTTCCTTACCCTGTGTCCTTGGAGGCTCCAGAGACTTCTGTGTGAGCGAGGACAGCCTGGAAGACCGGGAGGGGATGGCCTGAGACGAGCCCGGCTCTCGATGCCCGGCCCCGGTCAGCACCCACCGCCCAGCGGCCAGGCGCGAGGTCACGTGGGCGCCCGCCACCCCCAACGCCCCACAGAGCCTGTCTTTGTGTGAGCTCAGGCCCGGGGGAGCGCCGGCGCCCACTGCGCCCAGAGGCCAGGGCGGGCACGGGCCTTGCCAGGGGCCTCCCGCCCCCGCCCGGTCACGGACCCGGGCTCTGCACAGGCCGGGGCCAGGACAGGGGTTCTGTTGACTCAGCGCCGCGTGGCAGGCCCCGAGCCAGCGCCCTGTGCCCATTTCGTCATTCCCGCCGGGCACTGGGCCGGCTGCCCGTTTTGTGGGCGAGCACACAAAGGCTCAGAGACACTGAGCCACTTCCCCAAGGCCACACAGCAACACAATGACTACCCACGCTGGGGTCTTGGAGGGCCAGGAGCTGTCCCCTGTGACAAAACCAAACCCGATATTTAAAGCCTGCTCCCAGCAACATACTACCACGTGCCTCAGTTTCCCCATCTATAAAATGGGGAAGATCAGAAGCAACTTTGTACGGGGCCAGAAGCTTGTGGCCGACCCCAGTGTCCCCCAGGCTGTGAGTGTCCCCTGGGCGAGAGGCTGGAGTCCACATCCTAGGATCCCACATTCGAGCCCCCGGCTCAGCGCCCGGACACGCAGACCCACTTCTATCTCTGTGACGTTCTCCGTGAGACAGAAAGGCCGCCAGCCTTGCCCCCCAAGGCCCCGCCAGTTTTTCTAGAACGATCTATTCCGTTCCTTCTGCCTGGACCCCCTCCCATTACTCATCTGGCAAATCCCTGCCCACCCCTCAATTCTCAACGTCGCCACCACCTCCTCCGGGAAGCCTTCCCGGATGCCCCAGGCAGGGCCCGGTGTCCCCACGCTCCCACGGTGCCCTCGGCGTCCTCCCTGGCAGCCCTGAGCCCGTCTCCCTTGCCGGACGCGCAGGCAGGGGCTGCGTCTACACTGCCGGCGCCCTGTCTGCCGGTCCAGCCCAGGGCTCGGCCGGAACCGCGAGGGGAATCCCACGCCGCCCGGTGCAGCCTCCCCAGTTCACAGATGAGCAAACTGAGGCTGGGGAGGAGAAGGCCCAGCCCTGGAGCCCGGGGGCCCTGGAGCCGGGGCTTTCCCCGTGCAAGCCCCCAGGCGGCACGAGCTGGCCCAGCAGGGCGGCCCAGGCGGCAGGAAGGCCTGGGCTCCCCGCCCTGCAAGGCTGCAGGAAAGGGGCGGCCGGGCAGCGGTGGCCTCCACGCTCCCAGACATCAGGGCAGCCCGGCCCTGCCGACACCTGGCCAGGCGGCCAGCTGCGCGCCGCCCTCCCTCCGCTCTGCCCATTGTTCTGCAGAGACTGCCCCGTCCAGCGGCCGGACAGGCGGATGACTGCGGTCTCAGGGGACAGGCCAGGGACCAAAATAAGCCCGGGCCTTCCTTCCTGCCGCATCGGCCCTTCCGAGGCAGGGACCTTCCCAGGGACGGCCCCGGGTCGCTGGTTCTTGCCCGACATGCCAGGGCATCCCACTGTCGTCTCAAGCAAAACCAGCCTGCTGACGCTTCAGTGCAGTCCGGCCAAGAGCATCTATGGGGCACCAACTGTGTACCAGACACCAGGGATACAGAGATAATCAAAAGGGACCCCAGCTACCTAGGAGGCTGAGGCAGGAGGATCGCTGGTTCAGCCCAGGAGTTCAGACCAGCCTGGACAACACAGCAAGACCCCATCTCTAAAAAGTTTGTAAAATTAGCCAGGCGTGGTGGTGGTGGCGTGTACACCTGTAGTTAGTCCCAGCTACTCGAGAGGCTGAGGTGGAGGATCCTCTGAGCCCAGGACTTCAAGGATACAATGAGCTATGATGACACCACTGCACTCCAGCTTGGGTGACAGAGCGAGACCGTCTCAAAAAAGAAAAAAAAATCAGATTAACAGATCACCACCTGAGGGAGAGTGGAAGGAAGTCTGGAATGTTCCATGTTCTTTCTTTTGTTGTTTTTTTTTAAAATTCTTTAGTAGAGATGGGGTCTTGCTCTTGCTCAGGCTGGTCTCGAACTCCTGGCCTCAAGTGATCCTCCCGCCTCGGCCTCCCAGAGTGCCGGGATCACAGGCGCAAGCCACCGCGCCATGTTCCATGTTTTGATCCGGGTCTATGCAGATGTCAGAGGTCACTGAACTAGACGGCTGCCCACCTCTGCCACGACACCGAGCACCAGCCAATTTGATGCTTTAAAACGGCAAACCTTATGGGGTGTGAATTACAGCCCAATAAAAAGATACCATTTCCCCCAAAATCACATACAAATGGCCAATGAGCACACGGAGAGATGCTCTGTGCTGTCGGCCATCGCGGAAATGCAAACCACACCACAGTGAGATGCCACTGCGTCCCCCCGAGGACGGCCGGAACCTCGAGGACAGACGGTACCAAGTGTGGTCGGGCACGTGGGGCACTGACGCCCTGGCGGGGAGTGGCCGGGCAGCCGCTGGGGAGACAGTCTGGCGGCTGCCCGAACAGCTAGAGTCACCGCGCGACCCAGCGATGCCGCCCTCGGGGTCTAGCAGAAGTGACACTGCGCATCCCTGTGACAACGCGCACACGGACGCTCACAGAGAGCAGCTTAAACCGCAGCCAGCGCCTGGAAGCAGCCCAGGCGGCCGCCGAGGGCAAGCGGATAAACAAAATGTGCTCGTGCAGACAATGGAATGTCGCTCAGCCCTAAAAGGACAGAAGCTGTGCCGCGGGCCCCACGAGGACACGCCTCGAGGACGTCACGCTCAGTGACCCGCAGAGGACCAGGCGTGGCGTGAGTCCATTCGTGGGATACGAATGGCAAAGCCAGAGTGACACAAAGTGGATTAGTGGTGTTTCCAGGGGCTGGAAAGAAGGGAGAATGGACAGTGATTGGTAACGGGGATGGGGTTTCTTTTTGGAGTAATGGAATGTTCTGGAATTAGTGGTGATGGTCACATAACCTTGTGAACCACTGAACTGTACTCTAAAACAGTGGATTTTGGCCGGGGCGCGGTGGCTCACGCCTGTGATCCCAGCATTCTGGGAGGCCAAGGCAGGAGGATCGCTGGAGGCCAGGAGTTCAAGACCAGCCTGAGCAACATAGCAAGACCCCGTCTCTACTAAAAATAGAAAACTTAGCCAGGCACGGTGCTACACACCGGTAGTCCCAGCTCCTCGGGAGGCTGAGGCAGGAGGCTCGCTTGAGCCCAGGAGTTGGAGGCTGCAGTGAGCTGTGCTGACGCCACGGCACTCCAGCCTGGGTGACAGAGGGAGACTGTGTCTCAAAAGAAAAAAAGAAGAAAAAAGATAGATAAAATAAATACATTTTTAAATAAAACAAATGTGAAAGGATAAATACATTGAACAAATTAAAAGTCAGGATTCGGCCCCAACTGTGAGGCGAACGAGAAAAGAAACGGGCGACACAAATGGAGACTCGTAACCACTTCCAGGTTGCCAGGCGCACAGTGGGGACTCTGCACACATCTCATTAAAACAGAATTTCCTTCCTGAAAAGCTCGGGCCCAGCTGTCCTGGAAGACGCGCCTCAGCGGACGCTCGGCTATAAATTCCCGGGCGCCGGGCTCGTCTCACTCAGCTTCTCGGGGGCCGCACTCCAGGAATGCTCCTGAATTTTTTTATTTTTTTTTTGAGGCAGAGTCTCGCATTGTCGCCCAGGCTAGAGTGAGTGCCGTGGCGTCAGCCTAGCTCACAGCAACCTCCAACTCCTGGGCTCAAGCAATCCTCCTGCCTCAGCCTCCCGAGTAGCTGGGACTACAGGCATGCGCCACCATGCCCGGCTAATTTTTTCTATATATATTAGTTGGCCAATTAATTTCTTTCTATTTATTGTAGAGACGGGGTCTCGCTCTTGCTCAGGCTGGTCTCGAACTCCTGACCTCGAGCAATCCGCCCGCCTCGGCCTCCCAGAGTGCTGGGATTACAGGCGTGGGCTGTTTTTACTTTATCTTTTTAAGAGACAGGGTCTCGCTCTGTCGCCCGGCTGGAGTGCAGTGGCATCTTCAGTCATCACAGCCCACTGCAGCCTCCAACTCCTGGGCTCCAGCGATCCTCCTGCCTCGGCCTCCCGAGTAGCTGGGACCGTAGGCCTGAGCCACGATGCCCGGCTAATTTTTTAATTTCCTTGTTGATTTTTGACAATTAATTGTTATCGGCCTGTTGATTCAGGACTTACGCTTCCCACGCCAGACGTGAGGCCTGTTCTGGACGTTTCCTATAATCGGAGTCTCATGCCGCGTGTCCTTCTGCGTCTGGCGTCTGTCGCTGAGCACGACGTCCTCAGGGTCCCTCACACTGCAGAGGGTGAATGGCTCCCTACTTCGCGCCTTTCTGTGGCTGGCCCCACGTCATCCGTGCAGCTGCACGTCTCTGTTCTGCCACCTTAAGTGACGGCTGTGTTTAGCCGCCCACGGCAGCGTTCCCGGGGACACAGAGAGTGGCTCCCGTGAGCTGGCTCCTGGCGGCCCTGCCCCGTCGCATGAATTCTTCATGCCCCACACAAAGGGTGTCAATAATTGATGGGCGCGCTCGGCAGGGCCACGCCATCTCTCTGGTCCCGGTCTGGCTGCAGCAGCCGGGGTGGCCTCGGGTCTCCGCCCACCACGGCCCCCGCCCCCACTGTCCTCATCCGACCGTGCCCACCGCCGACTCCAGCCCTTTACGATGACATGACTGAGGCCTCAAAAAGGGCAGCGACCATTTTAGTTATGGAGGGAAATCCGCTGGGCCAAGGTGTGGTGTCACCTGTGGTTCTCAAACTGGGCTCCCCAGAGCCCTCAGGGAACACCCTAAGGATGAGCAGGGTCCGGCCACCAGCCGGGTTGCCCTGGAAGCCGGGACATTTCTGACCGTGTCAGGTTTCCACTGAGGAGAGGGCTCGGGGCCCACAAATGGATGTTGGGAGGCCACGGTCCTCCACTCTGCAGAGGCCAGGAGAGGCCCCGGCTCTCGGCCCGGGCCAAAGACGTTGAACAGCGAGCAGAAGGTGGGGATGGCCTGGCAGGAGTGTGGACGCAGCCCCTAAAGGTGTCCCAAAGTGACCCACTTCTCACCGCTCCATAGCCTCCGTCCTGGTCCCCCCAGGTCCTGCCCTCACCCCCCAGTCTATTCCCACAAGAGCCAGAGGGCGCCTGAGTCAGGGCCCGTCCTTCCTCTGCCCACAGCCCTCCATGGCTCCCACCTTCCTCAGGGCCAAAGCCCAAGTCCTCCCTGGGGCTGACAAGGCCCTGCACGACCTGCCCCGTCCCCTCTCCCCCTCCTCACTCTGCTCCAGCCACACAGGCCTCCTCACTGGGCCTCCAACACACCAGGCACAGTCCAGCCCCAGGGCCTTTGCACGGGCTGTGCCCTCTGTCTAGGATGCTCTTCCCCAGGTCCCCACGTGGCTGTTTCTTTCTTTTCATCCAGGCCTGGGCTCACTTGCCACCTCCTCAGGAGGCCCTCCCAGATCCCCCATCTAAACTAACCTCCCCGTCTGTCTGTCCGTCCATCACCTTCATGCAATTACAACCAAGCATAAGGATTCTTCTAGATGAACAAGGTCCGTCTCTCCCGACCCGGCTGGGAGCCAAGTGAGGGTGGGCACCAGATCAGCTTTCGTCATTGCTGAGTCCTTGGTGCCCTGTGCCAGGCTTGGCTCACAGTAGGGGCTCAGTATCTGTTTGTTGAATGAATAAATGACCTCCGAGCACCAGAGAGGCATAATGTCAGCGATCTCATGCAAAGGCCCTGTTTCCAGCTGGGGAGACAAACAGAGATACACCAAAGTCACAGTGTAGTAGCACAGGACAAACCCTCCGTGCCAGCCCTGCCTGGGAAAAGGGGGTCTCAGATACCCCCCAGCCTCGACCACAAGGTCACGTGTTGCAGCTACCTTGCAGGGAGCGCTCACTACCTGCTAGGCGTTTTCCCTCCAGGGCTTCATTGCCAAATTCTCTTGATGGACCTGCAAGTTTTCAGTTATTACAGAAGGGGAAACTGAGTCAGAGGGGGCCAGGAGCTTGCCTAAGTTTATAGAGCAAAGTCGAGATTCAAACCCAGCCCTGAACCCGGGGTGATCCTTTCCTCAAATTTGGGGTTCAACTCTCCTTTCCCTGAGAGCGCACCATGAAGGGGAATGGTCTAAGCTTTTTGGAAGCTTCTAGAAGCAATGTGTCCTGTAACCTCTTTCGTGGTGAAGGCCTGCGGAATCCTCCCTACCCTGCAAAGTACCCTTCTTGCCCCCGGGTAGCTCAGCCCCTTTCCAGAAGAAAAAAGAGATGACCAGTCCCGCTGGACAGATGGGGAAACTGAGGCCTGGACAGCAGGGCCTTAGAAGGTCCCTAGAACCCTGCCGGAGGTGCTTTCGGGACCGCTCAGGTGGGTGGGTTCCAGGGAGGGCGTCTGTCGGGGGGCTGCGGGGAGGGGCGGGCACCGGGTGTGACTGGGCCCATCCTGCCCCTCCCCCGGCCCCCGCCCGCGGGTCTGCAGCAGCTGGGCCGCACCTGGGCAGGTGCGAGTCATCATTTAGCGTCCACCTCTCTCCGGCGGGGCCCTTTCCCTGCAAGGCCTGGAGTTTTGTCCCCGAGGCACCCTCTCTGGGGCCCATTTGACAGACAGGAACACTGAGGCCTCCTGAACCCACCACATCGAAGTGTCAAGCAACCAAAAGGCCCCTCGCCTGCCCGCGACGGCTGCCGCCTGGGGAAACTGCGGTGACGGAACGGGGACTCAGGGCACCCAGCGGGAGGGGGACACCGCGGGGCCTCCCGTGGGCACCTGCCTGACTAGTCTGTTCCCACATCGCAGCAGGGCTCAGGGCTCGGCCCATCCCACGCCCCGGGGGTCGGGCACTCGCAGCTCGGGCATCCCAGGCCGCCCAGCCTCGGCCCAGTTCCCGATCCATCCGCCTGGGCAGCGGAGCGGGAAGCCCAGCCCAGGTGTGTGTGGCGGGGACAGCCTTTGTTCACCGTTTCCATAGGTACCGCGTCCCTGGCCCGGCCCCTCCTCCGCCCTGCCCTGCCCGCGCAGGTCCTGGCCCGTCCAGGCCGCTTGTTATGGTTTAAAGTTGGCGCCTTGGGCTGCGGCGGCGGCAGGGAGGGCACAGTCTGTGCAAAGGCCCCGAGGCAGGCCCGTGCCCGCAGTGTGGGACGACCAGGAGGAGACCCCCGTGGCCCTGCAGAGTGAGCAGGGAGGTGATACCAGTGTCCACATTCCTGCATTTAATCCCCCCAGCCCTCAACCCAGGGAGTTATATTCCCTCCCATTTTACACATAGGGAAACTGAGGCTCAGAAGGGTCACTTGTTTGAGGCGCCACAGTGGTTGGCAGAACCGGAGCCCAGGTGTATCCAAGTCCCCAACTACTGGGCTGAACTGCCTTCAGCCCGTCCCAGGTCACTCGCGGCCCCCGCTGCGCTGGGACAGGCTCAGGAAGCAAGTGGGGGGCTGCGCTGCCCCTCCTCCCCCGCTGCACACGATGTCGGATCCCGAGTGGGAGCAGATCCGGCTCTGCCTCCGTCCTCGCCTCTCTGGACAAGCGCTACCTCCCTTCTGGGCCTCAGTTTACCTTCCCAGGAAATGGGCCCAGGTAGACTCCAGAGAAAAGGCCACAGGAGGCCACAGATCTGGGTCAGACCACCTGCCCCAGCGGTGGTCCCAGCCCACAGCTGGCAACACGGAGGCCTGGCCTGGGGGCCACTCCGGGGCTCACTGGTGGCCAGTCTGGGTGGGCCTGGCCCCGGCTCTCCCCGCCTCCCGGGCTAGACAGCAGCCACACATACTGCCACCTCCACACGGTGGCCGGCTGCCCGCCACCTGGAACCCCCGCCCGATTCTGGGATCTGGCCCCGGCACCTGCCCCCTGCTCTGTTAAAGGGGCAGAGTCCACATGGAGGAACGGGCGCCAGTCCCAGAGCACGGCCCCACCCCAGCAGGGGCAGTTCGGACCCAGTCTGTGTCTGCCTGCCCCACACAGCGAGAGTGACAGAGAGACAGAGGGAAACTGAGGCAGGAACACAGACAGCCTGGGTGGACCAGGGCATGAGGGGCGGGAGAGACATAGGGCGGCCCGGTGGCCCCCGGGGCGCGCCGAGATGGGCACCACCGCTCACCTGAGTCCGGAGTCCGGTGCGTCCGCCGGTCGGGACCCGTCCAGCCGCAGTGTTGGGACTAGCGCCGGGGCCGGGTCCCGGGCCAGGGCCGGGCTGGGGCGGGGCGATAGGCCCCGCCCCCATCGCCCCGCCCCTCACAGGCTCCGCCCTCTCCCGTCCCCGCCCACCAGGAAACAACGAAAGCGAGGCCGGGCGGGGGTGGGCGTGCCGAGTGCCTCGGCTCAGCCAATGGCAGCGCGGGCGATGTACGAAGAGACCAATAGGAGCAGATCACCGAGGTAGGAGGGGAAAGGGGCGGAGCCTGGGGCGGGGCCTGGAGGCTCGCTGGGGGGATTCCTCCGGAATCCGGACCCGGCCGGATGCGGGGCGCGGGCGCAGAGAAGAGAAGGAAGAAGTTAAAACTCCTAGGGGGAGACGCAGAGACCCTGACGGGCCGAGCCCCGGCCGCCAAAAGGCAAAACTGACCGACCACGTGGCCCTTTTCTCCTCTGGGACTCAGTTTACCCACCTTGGTAATAGGAATTTGGGCAAAATCATGTTTCTCAAAGTGCAGCCCAGGAAACTTTCCACATGAGACTCACCTGGGAGTCCCTTGGAAAATGCAGTTTCCTGCGCCCCCAGAAGGGCTGAATCTGACCCGGGGTTGTAGATAACTCTTTGGGGTGAGGTTTGAGGACGCCCTCCCCCCAGGTCCAGCCCCGATTTCCGTGGGACTGAGCTGGCGGGACACACAGGAGCCTGCTGGCTGCCAGCGGGCGGGACAGCAGGGACAGCTGCGGCCCCCCAAGAGGATGCAGCTGTGAGTCCTGGGAACCGGGCCCTGGCGCGGCTCCCAGCTCCCCTGCGCGATTTCCTCCCTGCAGCCCCAACTCCGGGTCTGCGTTGTAGCCAGGGCCCAGGGCCCCGGCAGCCAGGCCGCCTCCTCTGGGAAGCCGGGCGACAAATGTTAGTTGAGGGCCTGTCGTGCGCTGAGTTCAGACCTGTGCCTTGGGGATCCACAAGGACCCTGGCACAGGCCTCAGGAGGCAAAAATAAATAAAATGTCTCTATTTCATTTTGGAGAAGGAAACGGAGGAGCGGATAGAGGAAGAAACTCGCCCGAGGCCACGCAGGCACCAGTGGCAGTCAGGATTCGAACCCGGGACTGGGAGGCAGTTCCCTGCCCCCAGCCAGAGCCTCTCCCACCTCCCCCCACCTACAGCCCTCTGTCCGCCCCAGGGCCTGTCACTGTTGGGGGGGGACTGGTAATTTCTGCTTCTGTGGTTCACACCTGTAATCCCTGCACTCTGGGAGGCTGAGGCGGGAGGATCGCTTGAGGTCAGGAGGTCAGGTCTCCTAAAAAGCTAAACATAGACTTAGCCTCGCAGCCCAGAGTCCCATCCCAGGTATACACCCAAAGGAACCCAGAGCAGAGACTAAAAGAAACATTGGTGCCCCCATGTTCATAATAACAGCATTATTTACAGTAACCAAACGGTAGGAACAGCCCGGGTGCTCGTCCACAGGTGAGTGGACACACACGCGGCCCATCCACACGTGGAGCATGACTCAGCCACGGAAAGGGACCAGGCTCTGGCACGGGCCACAGCGTGGAGGGACCTTGAGGACGTCGTGCTCAGGGAGAGACGCCAGACACAGGAGGACACACAGCGTGAGACTCCGTTTATACGAAATGTCCAGGACAGGCAGATCCACAGAGACGGACGTGGCTTCGAGGGTGCCGGGGGCTGGGGGAGGAGGACGGGGAGTGAGTGTTTCATGGGGACAAAGTTCCAGTTTAGAAAGATAAGAAAATTCTGGAGATGGAAGGTGGTGATGGCTCACGGCAGTGTTAATGTACTTAATACCACTGAACTGTACACTTAAAAAATGGGCAAAATGGTAACTATTTTATTTTGGAGACGGGGTCTCACGGTCACCAGGCTGCAGTAGTGGCGTCATCCCAGCTCACTGTAACCTGGAACTCCTGGGCTCAGGCGATCCTCCTGCCTTGGCCTCCAGAGTACCTGGGACAAGAAGTGGGCACCATGGTGCCTGGCTAATTGTAAAATTTTTTAAATTGTTTTTAGAGGTGGGGTCTTGCTATGTTGCCCAGGTTGGTCTCTAACTCTGGGCTTAAGCGACCCTCCCACTTTGGCCTCCCAAAATGCTGCGGTTACCGGCATGAGCCACCACACCAGGCCAATTTTTTAAAAAGTAATAATGCAATATGCTAAAAAACACTGATTTGTACACTTTAAATGGGTGAATTGTATCTCAACAAAGCAGTTTTTGATTAAAAAACAAACAAACAAAAAAAAGCCCATGCATAGATAAGAACGTTGGGGCTCAGAAGGGTTGGGGGTTCAGCCGGGGGTGTGGGGTGTGGGGAAGGGATGACGGTGACTTAGACGCTGGCTGGCCCATCGGGGTCGGGGTACTCAGCCCGGGTCACTCTAACCCAGGGTGGGGCTCTGCCGGGTCGTACAGCCGAGGGCCCGACGGGGCTCAGCTGGGGTCCCCGGCTCTATCCAGGGTCAGGCCTCAGCCTGGACGAGGCTCAGCCCTGCGATGGGGGCTCTCCTGGGGTGGGGGGCCAGCCCGATGGGCACTCACTGGGACAGAGGCTCAACCCAGGGTCAGGCCCGGCTGTGTTTGGGGGCTCAGGGCAGGATCATGGCGCTACCCACGGTTGGGGGCTCAGCTCCGGCTCGTGCTCGACCCCGGTGGGGGGTCAGCGGGGATGGGGTCTCAGCTGATACTGGGGCTCAGTCGGGTGCTTCACCTGGAGTTGGGCCTCAGCTGGGGGCCCCGGAGCTGGGGCTCTGTCCCGGGTACAGCCGGGCCCTCCAGGAGGAGGCTCCGCCCGAGGTCCGGGGTCCGGGGTCCGGGGTGCGGGGTCCGGGGTGCGGGGTGCGGGGTCCGGGGTCGCGGCCGCGCCGGTTCCGACCGTGCCCGGCAGGGGGCGCGCTCTGCCCACAGCCCGGGCGGGCGGCGCTGCGCTTCCCGGGAACCGGGTCGCCTGGGCGGGCGGGACCTGCGTGCGGGGCGGGGTCCCCGGGGGCCCAAGTCGCCCCAGCCTCTGGACCCACCAGCGTCCCCCGCACCCGCACCCCGAAACCAAGCCTGGCACCTCCACCGGGCTGTGACCCGCAGCGTGCGACCCCCTTCTCTGTGCCCGCGCACCTGCGCACCTGCGCACGGGACCGCGGCCGGGGCTCTGGGGGGCAGCGCGGCCTCCGGGAGCCCCGAGAGCGCCTCCTCCCCCGCCCGGCGCCTTCTCTGGGGGGCTGGTCCTGGAGGCCAGAACCCAGCCCCCTCCCCCACGCCCACTCACTGCCGCGTGCCCGCCATCGTCTGTCCCCGCAGGACCCTTCCCGCGGCCGCCTGAGAAACGGGGTGGTGGGAGGGAGGAGGGAGCGAAGCTTGCAGGACCCCCCCGCCCCCCCCTGCCCAGGGCCCGGCCGAGGGGATGGGGTGGGCGGCTCTCACGGAACCTCCCCTGGGGCACCGGGAGGGCGGCGCTGTCATTCGTCCTGCCCCGTCCCATTGGGGTTCTGGGCTTAGGGTGGGGCACGTGCCCTTCCCCCCAAAACCGGTGCCCTTCCCCCCCCAAACCAGTGCCCTGCCCCCCTCAGTCTCCGCCGTCGCCCCTGCTGCGGGGGGAGGAGCTGGGGGAGGGTGTCTCCGCGGAGTCGCCAGCCGGCCGCGCGTGGGAGGCGGGCGTCTGGCGACACGTGGCGCGTTCGCGCGGGCGGCGCGGCGCGCGGGGAGGGGGCGCCGCTTGGCCGCGGCCTCGCGGGGCTTGGCCTGGCGCGGGGCAGAACCGCAAGGCCGCCCGTGCTCAGCTGAGACGGGCCACACGGGCACCTGAGCCCGCCCGGGAGCGCGGCGGAGAGCCGGACGGCCAGGGAGGCTCGGGACGCAGAGTCGCCCCGCCAGACAGCGGGGACGGGGTCCTGATCCCCCACCTTCCCCAGAGCAATTGCTACAGCGCGGCCCAACGTGGGCTCCTGAGAGCCAGCCCCAGGTAGGGCTTGTTCTAGAACCACAGAGAAGGATGCCCTAAGCCGGGGAAATATCGGCTGGGGATCTGCCAAGGGCCGGTGTAAGAGGGGGATTCTTCCAACACCAAAGGAGGACGACAGAGCTGAGTCCTGGAGGGAGACTGAACCCTGAGGCCCCTTGATCAAGCTGTGCCTGAAGCCCCTGGACTTTCTAGCTCTGGTAACCTCTGGGTCTAGGCAAGGACATCTCTTTCACAACACTTCGTAGGAGGCAGGGTAGAAGTTTCAAAGCTCCACAGAACTCCAGAATAAAACACCCTACAATTGTATTTATATGTTTCATGCTCACGGCCTAAGCTCTCCTCCCCTTTTGTGCACCAGCCTCGTGCTGGGAGATCAGGGACCCAGAGTTGCCTCATCCTGCAGTCCTGGGCTTCAAGGGGCTCCCAGTCTGGGTGGGAGAAAGTAGAGTTTGATGTAGGCCTTCCCAGGAAAGGGAGTCCCCATGGCTCAGGGAGCAGAAGGGAGTGAGAATTTACCTGTGACAGTCCAGGTGGGCTCCATGGAGGAGGGGCTATTGGAGTTGGGGTTTCAATGGCTGAATAGGAGTTTCCCAGTCTGAGTTGGTGAGAGCAGGAAGGGTGGGGGAGGAGTGGGATTTGAGTCGGAGGATCCTCAGGGCCTGTGAAAATCAAGACCTGAGACTTAATCCCAACCAGAAAGAGAGCCACAAAAGAGTTCCAGCAGAAGTAGAATCCCACCCATCAACCCACCATCACTTATTCACTCCACAAACATTCGCTAGATGGGTTCAAATCCCTGCTCTACCAGTTACCTATTCTTTGACTCCAGACGAGTTGCTTGCACTCTCTGAGCCTCAACTTCCTCATCTGTAAAGTGAGTACCTGCTGTGCCGGGCCCTGTACTGGCCGAGGGTGTAGCTGGGGGCAGGAGGATCCGGCCCTGCCCCTAGAAACCGGGGATGCTCCTGTGCGCCCCAGCAGCCATAATCGCCCTGTGTTTAACAGCCCAGTGACACGTCTGCGTCCCCAC